TCAAACTGGACAACTTGCAGAATATTAGGTCACGTGGCTGAGAAACTAACAGTAAGATGTTTGGAAGATGTGTCACATGAAGTTCAAAGGCTGTCTAATTTTGCTGAAGATTGTACGTAAGCGTGCAGTAGCATGCGGAATGACCTCGCCTTCAAATGACCAGAAATTGTGCAATTGCAGAAATTGACGTGGCATTAACGTGGCATCGATTCAAGAACATCTTTGAGCACACGTGATGTCACCTTTTCATCGAGAATTTAGCCACGTGTGCCAATGCCACGTCAATTTCTGCAATTGCACAATTTCTGGTCATTTGAAGGCGAGGGTATATAATCGGCTAAGCGGTCCATTCCGCATGCTACTGCACGCTTACGCGACAATCTTCAGCGAAAATTGGACAGCCTTTGAACTTCATGTGACACATCTTCCAAACATCTTACTGTTAGTTTCTCAGCCACGTGACCTAATATTCTGCAAGTTGTCCAGTTTCACTAAAGCCCACCATGTGATGCGCGCGGTTGCGTGCGGAGCTAAACTGGTATCAAGTATGCTGCCACTGCTACCCCTTCCACGAATTACTTTTTGCTACTTAAAGTGGATTCCGCTGCCCTTATCACGCCGTTGATAAGGCGCCACTGCCACTGAAACACTATCTGTTGTCTAAATGGGCAGGATCCCTATCCAATCCAGTATGTGGGTTCCCCTAATAGGCGTCATGGGAATTATCGTGAGTACTTCCTTTGATGAAATGAAAATGAAAATACAGGGAGAAAGCAAGGAATCAGTTACTTTCCTCCCACCACTCCCAATCGTAAACTAATCCTACTTTGTGTAAACTAATCCTACTTTGTTGAACTCTGGCTAGATGTTCCCACCGTGTCTTGAAAGGCATGCCCCAGGATCACATTGGTGTGGCTCTTGCACACGAATGCGAATGTATTGGTGCGAAGTGGGCCGGCAGTAAGAAAAAAGGAAAAGAATCCGTCGAAAACGCTTAGGTTAAGGGCTCACTCACCTTCCTAATCGGCTGTGCTAAGGGAATGAGAGACTAAGCGCGGAGAGGAGAGTATGAGGCGAGAGAGCGCTACAGATGAGAGAGCGCCAGACAACAGCCTGATAAGAGAAAAAAGTCTGCAGCTTGGGCAGCTTACTTTGCAAGGCCCAAGCGCTTGTCCTCTAGGGGTCTATACTTCAGACCGAAGAGAAGCGTTCACCCGACCTCTGCCTGGGTTGTGCCTTTAATAGCACGCTCTTAGCTATCCCCAACCTTCAAGCTTTTCGTATGGAGAACATCAATTATCAAAATTCGCCAATGCTTGTCATGGGCGAAGTGGCTTTACCCCTCGCAAATCCTCGTATAAATTCAGATGCCTGAATAGCATTTCCCACTAACCAGATCGAAGGGATGGTAATAAGCATCGTCCAGCTTGCAACGTTCAATCCAATCCGGAAACACCTCAGCAATCGTCTCTGAATGCCGCGAAACAATCATCTCGTCTCCACGAAACTGTGCGGCTGGGCGCAACATCTATAAGAAGTGCTGTAAGACTGTTCATTTAACAAGCAACTAATATGTATAAATAATAGAAATTTGGGCGCTGGTGTACTTAGAGAGGAGCATCCTTATGCGGAGAGCTCAACACAACCTGCATTCTCCCCTCAGAACCCCCTAGGACTAGCCATCAGCGGGGACTAGGAGGGAATGGTAAGGAATTTTCATTCATCTCGAACT